TAAAACCATAGCCTTCTGTGCTTTTTATTTAGCGGAGGAGTGAATATGTTATAAGGTACATATATATGTATGTGTGTATGTATGTATATGTGTACGTGTACGTGTACGTGTGCGTGTGCGTGTGCGTGTGCGTGTGCGTGTGCGTGTGTGTGTGTGTGTGTGTGTTGCAGAAACAGAAAGTGAAGATATGGTGTTCCAAAATGCAACTGTACTCAGAAAAAAAAATCCTATGTGTTTCATCATTTGTCGTCATTAAGTCCACTCTGCCAGGGGACTAAGTGATTGGGGTGTGAAAGATGGCTGGAGGGTTTGAGGGACGGGACAGTGGGGTATCTAGGGATCCCCAAGGCAAGGTGATCAGCTCTGATTAGATGTACTGTTCCACAGAGGGACCAACTTCAAAAGGGTCAAATAATCCGAGTGGCCGAGGGAGAGGAGCATTGCCAGAGGCCAGGGGTGACTCGGGAAGGAGCTGGAGGAGGGGACAGACATAGGCATGCGAGTGTTTGCCTAGCTGGCAAGAAGCCCTTGGTTCCTCCCCAGCACCGCACAAAGGAGGCGTGGTACTGCGTGCTTATAATCCCTGTACTTGGGAGGCTGAAGCAGGAGGATTGCATGACTTCCAGGCTAGCCTGAGCTATAGAAAGGTTTGAAATCAAAAGGTTTCAGTTCTGTCCTACAACATTGCTACTTTATGCTATACAGGAAGCATCCAAAGGCAGTGTTTTGTTTTTAAGACAGGATGTCTATAGTCTACACTGGCCTAGAACTCACTCTGATAGACCAGTCTGACCTTGAACTTGTGGTATCTAATTGCTGTGCCTCAGCAATTAGATTTTTTTTCTTTTTCCTGAAAAAAAAGATGTTCCCCCCCGGAAAAGTAAAATTGTGTGTGTGTTTCTGTGTAAGCATATATATGCTTGTGTCTATTTGCATATGTCTATGTGTATTTGTCCATCTATGCATGTGTGTGCATTTGTGCATGTGCCTGTATTTATCCATGCATTTGTGTGTGCTCATTTCTGGCTGTATATCTATATGTGTATCTGTATCTATCTGCCTATGTATATGTATCTGTACATCTGAATATGCCTCTGTGTCTCTGTATGGGTCTGTGTATCCAGTTCATGTATTACTGGACAGGAGTACGGAGGGTAGCTATAGACATTAACTAGAGAGCCACAGGGTGGGGTTATAGATAGATGATTATGGTGTCAATAGGATTCACAAAGGCATCTCCCAGCTATAAACAAAGATCTCTGAAGCTGCTGGATTGAAAAGGAGGGAAAAGCAAATACAAATTACATGGCCTTAGGTACAGTGAGGCTTTGCCTCGGAGGTGACATCCACAGAGAGATGCTAAGAATGGAGAGGTTGTGGATCTGAAGCTGAGCAGAAGGCAGACACTATTCACTGTGCTGGTTCCCCAGAGCCTACCTGACCATCCCTGAGCTGGGAGAGGCGAGCAGCAGGTTATTCATCCCTGTCAGTGCCTGGCAGGAGAGATACAGAAATGCCAACTGTCTTTTCTCAGCTCCTGAGTTTCCTCTCCCCGTCTTCCTCAGAGCTCTGCCAGCTTCCAAGACCTTGGCAGACCTCCCAATTTAATTATTCATTCCGTTGTCCCCAGATTTGTTTGTACGTTTCAGAACTGGTGTCCCAGTTTAGGGCTTGGATGGTCTGTGTCCCTTGGCCATCAGCTGTCCTGAGCCTTGCCTCTTGCCTCTGGCTTGAGCATCCTTTTCCTCTCCCACAGATGCAGGGACAACCCTGATGTGTTCTCCCAACCATGTGACCTATGGGAGGCTCCACAAGCTCCTGGTGTTTTTAAAGAATCCCTCTGTCTTACAATTCCAGGACTTTTTTTTTTCCTTTTTTTCCCGTGTGTGTGTGTGTGTGTGTGTGTGTGTGTGTGTGTGTGTGTGTGTGTGTGTGTGTGTCCATCAAAGAGTGAAAGAACAGCTTTTGAAACTTGGCTCTCTCCTTCCACCATGTGAGTTCCAGGGATCTACCTCAGGTCATCAGCTTAGCAGCCAGTATCCCTGACCCAGTGAGCCACCTCACTTGCCTAGCTGGCAAGAAGCCCTTGGTTCCTCCCCAGCACCGCACAAAGGAGGCATGGTACTGCGTGCTTATAATCCCTGTACTTGGGAGGCTGAAGCAGGAGGATTGCATGACTTCCAGGCTAGCCTGAGCTATAGAGTAGATGCTGGAGAGAGAGAGAGAGAGAGAGAGAGAGAGAGAGAGAGAGAGAGAGAGAGAGAGAGAATCAATCAAAAAAATGAAAGAATCTATGAAGAAAATGGCCTCGTTGAACTTGTAGATATGGGTAGTCAGTCCCGAAGTCCATCAGCCTGAAATGGGGAGTGGGGGGTGGGAGGGGTTGGTGAGTCATTCCCATAAGACTGTAAGATTGTTGGGCATAGTGGCACATGCCTTTAATCCCAGCACTTGGGAATCATAGGTAGTCGAATCTCTGAATTTGAGACCAGCCTAGTCTACATAGTGAGTTCCAAGACAGCCAGAACTACATAGTGAGACTATGTCTCAAAAAGAAAAGAGAGAGAGAGAGAGAGAGAGAGAGAGAGAGAGAGAGAGAGAGAGAGTCATTATTAATATCCCCCTGAGACGGGTTTTGGAATTGCTCTCCAGGTCATTGTTGAAATTCTAGATTCCACCCATTAAAATCATAAACATCTCTGAGAAGGGCAGGGGCTGCAGGGCTTACACACCACATTGTAAATTAATTGCTATTTCCTGAGCCAGTAAGTAAGGATGCAGGGAGACGGGAAAGGGGGTGTTTATTTTTTTTTAAAGTTTGGGCAACTGCCAGTGGTGCTGAAAATTTAATTACTGCCGCAGAAGAGTAATTAAATTTTGGAAGCAGGAAACCTATGGCCCAGAAGTTGAAGGCAGCTCAGGGGCTCCTGGGGAGAAAGCTCTATGGTACGGTGGCTGGCACCTCCCCATCTCCAGCCAGCTTGTGGCTGCCAGGCTTGTGATGCAGGCTAGGCAGTGCTTGTGGCTTGTTGGCATAGTCGTCAGAGATAGGCCAGGGCATGGCACAGGGGTAGAACACGTGCTGAGTCTGCATCAGGTCCTGGGTTCAATCCCTGGCATCTACCTAAAAAAATAGTACGGTCATGAGGACGTAGTAGAATGTTGCCGTGTGCCTTCTCCTGGGGAGACTACCCACCTCGAAGGAGAGGGTGCCAACAGACCAAAGGAAGGATTCCATCCAGGTCCAGTTTAGTGAGCCCAGGAGTTTACTGGGGTTACTTATGGGTGCACAAAGGACTCACGGGCAAATACCCCACTGAAGAGCCCCACCCAGGTTGACTCTTCCTTTCACATCACCTCAGGAGGGGAAGTCTAGGAGGATCCATGCAGCCTCCTGAGTTCCGTGAGCCCCATTCTCTCCCCATGAGGGATGTGAACACAACTGCTCCGAGACAGCCATGGTACACCCAACATGGAGGAAACAGCTGCAGGACAGATGTCTAAGACAGAATCTGTAGCCCAGGCTAGCCTCGGACTCCCTGTATGAACCTCTGAGCCTCCTGCCTCCACCTCCCTAGTGCTCCGGTCAAAGGCTGATGCCAAAATACCTGGTTATGCAGAGCTGATGATAGTCAGCCCAGTGCTTCCTGCATGCTAGGCCAGCACATCCCCAGCCCGTGCCATTCTTTGTATACGTAGATACCTTCTAAGACTGGGGTGTAAGGGGAACTTTTGGAACTCAGTCCATATTTAGAATGACTGGGGTAACTTGTCTGTCTTTGCACAGGTCTGCATACGTACGTGGTGTTACAGGGGCTACAGAAGAGCTATACCACTGCCAGTTTGAAACTTACTCATGGCTCCGCTCAGAGCTTTGCACGGGTGACCTCATCTAGTCCCGCAGTCCCCCTGAGACTGGCACTGTTAGTTGGTTTTACAGAGAAGGCAGGTTTAGAAAACCCATTGGAGATTCAGGATTTAAAAATACCAGCAAGCACCCCCCCACACACACACACACACACCGCATGCTTCCAAAACACCATAAGGATTGACAGTGCACAGGGCTGGTCACCTGTTTTCAGTCCAGAAAGAAGCAAAGGCTGTCACTGATCAAGGTGATGCTGGATGTCCCCGAGAGAGGTGGTATACTGCTGAGTAGGGACCTCGTGACAATAGACGACAATATTCATGTTTGGGCCATGCACCTATCTGCTGCGCCCCTTTGGCCACGATTCTCATTCTATTGGCTATCTGCTGCATTCATCTGTAAAACCATGGGTCATGCCGGGCGTTGGTGGCGCACGCCTTTAATCCCAGCACTCGGGAGGCAGAGCCAGGCAGATCTCTGTGAGTTTGAGGCCAGCCTGGGCTACCAAGTGAGCTCCAGGAAAGGTGCAAAGCTACACAGAGAAACCCTGTCTCGAAAAAAAAAAAAAACCATGGGTCATGGGTTGCTGACCTTGTAGACACACAGGAATACTGAGCAGACAGACATAAGGTGTGTGACATTTGACAGCATGCTGTAACAGCCATTCCATGTCTGTCCCTGTGATGGTAGCCGAAGTTCAGCCCTGGAGTGAGCACATGGGGACACAAAATAGCTGACAACAAAAAACAACTCAACGAAGATGGGCCCCGGTGTGGTGGTGCTCATCCGAAATCCCAGCGCTGAGGCAGGAGACTGACTACAAGTGCCAGGCCAGCCTGGGCTACAGAATGAGACCCTACTATACACAAATAGGTATGTTCTCACCAAAACAGTAGAGTTGGGTAATGCCTTCTGCTTCTCTTGAACTTCAGGAACTTTTTTACAAGATATTAGACAAATTACCAGCTCTTTGCTGTAATTCAGTTACATTTAGAGTCCCTCTCTCCCCCCTCTCTTCCCCCATCTCTCCCTCTTCCCTAGCTGAGGATCAAACCTAGGGCCTTGTGCTTGCTAGGCAAGAGCTCTACCACTGAGCTAAATCTCCAACTCCTCTTCTTTGGTTTTAAAACAGGGTTTCATGTAACCCCAGCTGACCTCAATCTCACCATGAAGCCAAGGATGACCTTGAACTTCTGGTCCTCCTGCCTCCACCACCTGGGAACTGAGGTGATAGGTGTGTACTGCCACATTTGGTTTATGTAGTACTGGGGATCAAACTTGAGGCTTTGTGCATGCCCTGTGAACACAAGACCAATGGAGCCACATCCCGGGTCTCAAGCAATCTCTTCTGCAAGGAAGACTGGCAGGTAGGTATACAACCTGCCAGTTCCTGTCAATCGTTATCCTGCATGGGGGGAATCATTATCTTAACTGACCGTTATTATAATAACCTGCTTTGAGAGATATTACAAAGCACCAGTGAATTGGATTTTCTTTCTGTTTTCCCCCTTTGTTCTCAGAGCCTTGCTCACACTAAGCAAGCCCTGAGCACTGAGCTGTGGCCCCAGGTTAATTTCCCATTTCTTTTATTACACAGTCTCAGCTTCACCTTAAAGGGAAATTCCTAATGATTTCAGACATCACTCCACTTAATCAGCCTCAGAACCAAGACATGTACCTGTCACGGGACCATGGATCCTCTTTGTTTTATGAGAACATTGAGAGGCATCCTGAAGGCACTTAATCATTGAAAACTATTTTTAAATTAATAGCTGTGGAAGGCTGTGAAATTCAAAATATGAAACTTAAATACTCGACTAAAATCAAAATATTACGTCTTTTTCCTTTACTCTCTCTAGCAATCCAAACTGTTGAGGTGCACGGTGTAGCGCACGTTGGTTGAAGAAAGAAGGCACTCCAAGAAGAAATTTTAAGGTCTATGTGGCAGCAGAAAAGTCCAGATTCTCTGATGGACTGAACCCAGAACAGCCATACAAAGGCAGGTTTATTGGTTGTCACACACAGCATTTCCTCAGACCAAGGTCCCTAATCTAATTTACATGTCTTACTAAAGAAGACCATCACCTGCTTCCATGACTCTAGTCCTTTATTATGTATGCTTTGTAATACACAATAATGCAAGAGACTCAGGTGTGCCTGAGGCATCTTGTGACCAGTGTCATGGGATGGCTGCAATGCCTCTTCAGTAAAACAATTCTACAGATCACAGAAAACAGTCACTGCTTTCCACAAAGATTCTTCAAGGTCAAAGCACTTCTAGAAAACAGCTGTTCATTCTTTTTTTTTTATTATTATTATTATTTTACAACACCATTCAGTTCAACATAATAGCCACAGAATCCCCTGTTCTCCCCCTCTCGCCCACCCCTCCCCCCAGCCCACCCCCCATTCCCACCTCCTCCAGATCAAGGTCTCCCCCGAGGACCGGGGTTGAC